TATTGTTGCATCTCCAGCAATGCATCCAATGCACGTAAGGCAATTTCTTGTCTTACGAAACTTAAACCCATTAGACCACCAAAGATCTGTGAATTAAACACAGTGCAAGTAATGACGGCATTCACGTTAGCATATCACACCAGAAAGAAAATTGCACAGCCTCTCAAATATCAAACTTTGGGGTTGATTCATTCGGTGGGTCTGTGAGCTGACAAGGCAGTATGATTAATTGCACACGTATTCCCTCGGAGGCTTTCCCGCTCATGCTTTCTGCAGCAAAGATTGTTAGCTTGACAGATCAGTGTAGCAACCTCTTAAGATGCCAGAAAGGAAAGGGGTTGGTTTCTGATTGAAAGTTAATGGAGGAATAGCAGCTGCTCCACACTGAGGAAAAAAAAAAAAAGGAAATTAAAAAAAAAGCAGCATTTGATTCCCAGAGAAAGCACACGCAGAAATAAGCTGATTTTTTTATAACTCCAGCTATAGGATTTCTGTCAGGGATTGTGAGAAAATATTCATGTGATGAAATATGCTTCATAATTAGGAATTCTGCTGTTCTCTTCCTTTCATCTGATTGCCTAAATATAAGTCATGGCCTGAATTTTTTTTCTTTTCCTATTAAATGCTATTCTAGGTGTCTCATCTTCCATGTTTACTCTTGGCTATGTGATAGTTTCGACCATTTAGGCTAAAGCTTGCAGAAACGCAGACTTGGCATGTGGCTCCAATACCGGCGATGCCGAGCAAAGATGCTTGCACAGCACGTTCCTTCTGTTAAACAGGCACTACCCGCTCTCCTGCTGTTGTACGAGACCCACACAGGTGTTGACTGTGGAGCCAAGGCAAGACTCTGGAATAAATTGTCCTGAGAAGCTGTGGGTGCCCCCTGCCTTGAGGTGTTCAAGGCCAGGCTGGATGAGGCCTTGAGCAACCTGGTCTAGCTGAGAGGCGTCCCTGCGCACAGCCTTGCCCATGGTCCACCGCAGGGAGGTTGGATTAGATGATCTCTAAGGTCCCTTCCAACCTAGGCCATTCTATGATTCTGTGATTCTATGACTGCCCACTTTGAAATAATAGCAACCTTTATCAGATGATTCCTCAAGGTTAAACCCCGTGAAAGGGTTTTAAACACTAACCAATGGCTTCCCTTTCACATTTTCCGGCTGGACTCCAAGAGGATAACACACACTCGACGGATCTTTTCCTGTAGTGCATGAAATGAGCTGAGATGCCTGATACCCTCTGTAGGCATCCCCGCACCTCTGGGGGTGACACCACAGCCTTCGGTCGGGAGCGGAGATGCTGCTGGAAGCGAACGGCAGCTGGGGAAACCCTGCGGGCAGCAGTGGCGGGGCTGGGGCGAGATGAGGCGGCAGATGGATGGAGAGCTCTGCAATCTCACACCTCACAGACGTTCCTGCTCTGATCTAGGGCAACCCTCTCAAAACACACCTGGAAGCGCAAGTCCTTAAACTGAGACCTGTGCTACCTCCTCGCTGCGCTTCCCAGCTCGTACCTTGCAGCACTTACCGAAGATAATAGGCTTTCAAATTTGGAAGTCTGCTCTGGATCCTTGTCCAAGGGCCACGTTTACATCAGGAATGATGGGTAATAATCTTTAAAAATGCCCCCAGGTACCCCCCATGACAGCCCTCATCTGCTCCGAGAATTGAATTAAGCTTTTAATTCAGTAGCTACATTTTCTAATGTGTTGTGAAATTTCATCTCTTACTGGCCACTCAGAAAAACACAAAGCAGAAAAAAAATGCAACCAAAAAAATTATTCTATTACTTTAACTTTTAAAAAGAGCCTAAGAAGCTGACAGAGAAAGATACTGTATAAACAAAATTATTTAATTGCAGTACATGGAAGAGAAGGCAAGTCTTACTGAAGCGGAGCAGGAGATGGCATGACAGAACAAAATTCCTCAAAGCAATAGCATATAAATACTGAATAAAATGCAAAAGTCAACTCTGCAGATGGCTCTAAGAAAAAGCAGTCACTCTGACTGTAAATACGCCTCAGAGAATATGCCGCAAAAAACTAGAAAGCCATAAAGCCAAGGGGGAAATCAGTGAATAATCTGCTAGAAGGAAATCCCCAGCTTCCACGATCAAGTATGGGGATTAGAAAGACATTTCTAAATGAATGAAGTGCAGCCTGGGACAGAAGAGTGAATTTTAAGGTTGTGGTTTTTTTCCTCTTCATCATCACACAGTGCCAAGCCAGGGAGATACTTACTGCCTGTCTTTGCACGCCAATTCAGATGTGTAATTTGGGATGTTAATCTCTCAGCAAAACGATTTAACACCATCCTTGCAGCCATCATTTACTTCCAGAGGCCTTTGCAAATGGCATTCCTAAATGATTTAAAGATATGATTGTCGATCAAGTGAGCTCCATCAACTCGATTCACTTCTTGCCTTTTGCTCAGTGAATCAGCTGCACAATTCAGTCACAAAAGCTTCTGGAGCAAAGCTAGAGAGGATTTTGTTAATCTGGATTTGTGAGCCCCAAGCTACTGGCTTAAAAATCCATGATGAATCTGTGTCACAGCGTATTTCCTTCTGCCCCAGGGAAACGAGGGATGTATATATGCAGAAAATCACGGTTATTTCCCTCACCTGTAGGAAGTTACCAAGAGCAAATAGAGGGGGGCAACTTGTCACCACCTCACCCAGATAACCAAGCCACCCCACAGCAGCATCTTTCTGTGATTTTCAGAGTGTGAAAAAGTAATACATATATATATATATCTATATATACACACACACATATATATATATATGTAAAACCCCACAGTAAGCAACCCTCCCCCTCCTCAAACCAGACACACATGTGCAATGTTTCAGCACATTGCTGAGACACGAGAGCCACAGTGATGTGAACAAGGTTAGGGCAGCAAGACAAGAGTGAAAGGAAAGGCCGTGTCCTTCACAGGACAGCTTTTCCGGAAGCTGTCAGGGTTTCTTTCGACAGGCTGGGCACTCACAGCCTCTCTTCATCCATTATATCCAGTGCTGTCCTTTTTAGCAGGCTGAGGCAGGGGATACCTGTGTGAGCCTGACAGCAGGCACCTCCAAAGGGTCAATGTTTAATATGGAGAGTTGGAAATATTTCATGCCAGTAGCATCCTTCATCCATAGAACTGAAGGTGCTTGAACATGTGCAACCAACACCAGTTGGATCTTTCACGCAGAGAAACTAACCAGGAGACATTAAGTTCCTGCCTTCACAAACACATGTTCTTAACTTGCTTTGAGGGGACAGCTATCTCAGTGTGGACCTGGACCAGAGGACTCTCCAAAAGTCATATACCAAGTAAGCAGGTGAGTGGGGACTGACCTCCAGCCACCCTGCTGCCCTCATCACCGGACACCACAACGTGTACAAGCTTACAAAATGAGAAGCCTTGCAGAAATCAATTCTTAAACACACTGTATGATTAAGCTGAGATGAAGACTGGGCAATACAAGCAGGTTTGTCACTGTGCTTCGTGCCAACAAAGCTTTCAGGCTTTCAAATCTAGCACTTTTCTCATCCTCGGGAAATATCTCTCCTATGTGTTAAAAACACAACGAACCACGAGCTATTTCAACATAATACTAAGAATATCAGCGATTAGTAGAATGAACAGTATGGTTAGAATTGCACAGTCGTTAATGTAGATTAAAATGCTTTGCCAGTAATCACATGCTGAGAGGCTCACTTTCCTGACTGAGCCACGTGGCTTTTCTTCTCCGCTGGGTGCCAGCCCTGCAAAGCTGCACAGCTGGTCCTAGGGGGGCACAGCTGCCCTGCGGGGGCAGCTCTGACTACAGTATGCAATGGATGTTCTTGGGGAAACCACCAGAAATAGGGAAATCTCTGCACTGAGCAAGTGGACCAGGGCAGGTACTCCCACCACACATGGTTGGGAAAAGTGGAGAAAGGCAACTCAGCAAGATGCTGTGCCCAGCCTGCCTTGCATTTTCTGGAGCATCCCCCTTGAGGGGTCCTGCATGGAGCTGGTGTGACTAGGGTGGCCGGGTCAGCAGCAAACACCCACAGCCCTATGCATAAATGTTGTCCTTCACTGGCCCATCCCTGAAGCCTGGTGGCACGTGTCACACGAGGGCTCACAGGGTCCCCTCAGCAAGCACTCAGGCACTCTACTCTTAGGGGAAATCACTGGTAAAATATATTCATGTAAAATCACTTCTAATCTCTGCTCCTTACAGTCTGAGAGCATTTTGCTGAAGAGGATAACTGAGAGTGGGCATGAAAAGCTGCAGGGACTGAATACCACTGAGTCAAAAAAATTAGATCCAGTATTTAATCATAATTTTCAATAATTGTTTCATTTTTTGGATAAGTATCTCTGAGAGATTGCTACATTTCTTCACAATGAACAGGTGATGATGAAAGATTTCGTCTAGACAGAAGTAAAGTCTGAATTTTAAAATTAAGTTCTACACAGCAAAAAAAGACCAAAATCATCACAGTGTTATTATCATCTTAAAGCTTCATTTAAAAAAAGAAAACAAAAAACAAACAACAAAAAAGGAAACAAAAAAACCCCAAAGGTTAAAAAAAAGCCCCAAACAATCAAACTTTTTTATTTCGGAAATACAGTCTATCATAAAGTAAATATTTAATATTAAACAATAGTAAAGATCACTTTGTGGAAATGAAATGAGCCACATCAGGGTTTTTAAAGACTCAGTACCTCTAGGACCTGGGTAGTTGCTGTTCGGGACTAACAGCACACAGCATATTTGGTGTGGTGCAGATTTTATTTTTGGTAGAGTATACTCATTTACTGTTCACAGCAGATGAAGCAATTAGCTGACATTTCATGGGGCAGTCTCCCAAGAATAATCCTGAGGCAAGATCAACTCCGCTGTCGGATGGGACAGTGGGAGGTGCAGCTGGGTGCCCCATGGACCTGCAGCTGAATCAAGTTGTCCCACTCGGGACCTTCTTGCAGGTATTTCTTTTCCACCAGGAGCCCTGCCGTTCACAAATGCTTCTTCTTTTTTATTGCCTCTGCCCTGACAGCCAAGCTCTTGGCACAGATGGTCAGGACCACGATGAGGACTCCGACCAGAAATGTAACCACAGGCCAGAGGAAGCAGTGCAAGAGGACAGTCTCGTCGTGGGTGCGCTTCAGCATCACGTCATCTGGCCTGCGAAGAGGAGGAGCAGAAAAGGGAGAAAAAATAAACCAGCTAAAAGGGAGAAAATATGAATCAACTCAAGATCATCAATTCATTGTAACTGGAAAGCATCTGCCATGGAAAAAAAAAAAAATAAAGGTGTTTTATTTGCAACCGTGTTAGAAAATGGCCAAGTGGACCATTTTATTCACTGCTTTTGTTTGCCTGTCTATCACCAGTACTCATGGAGGGCCAGGAGGGCTTTCCATTTGCAATGTTTACAGGTTAACAAGTTCATTCAGATGAAAAAAAATCAAGAAGCATTGGTATTTCAAGTTTCAAAGGGGTTGTGGTCATCACAAACAGCCATGAGAGATGCAATATCACACCGTGGATTGAAAAACCACTCCAGCAAAAATACAATATCAGGCAGCTGTCGTACCTATCCACCTCGAATGGCAGCAGACACTGTGCAGTGGATTTAAAGAGAGACTGAGAGAACTGGGGCTGTTTAGCCTTGAAAGGAGATGACTGAGAGGGAACCTTATTAATGTATCCACATATCTGAGGGGTGGGTATCAAGGGGAAGGAGACAATCTATTTTCAGTGGTTCCCAGTAATAGAACAAGAAATAATGGGTTTAAGTTAGAACATTGGATTGAAGTTCCACCTCAACATGAGGAGAAATTTCTTTACTGTGAGAGTAACAGAGCACTGGGAGAGGATCATAGAATCATAGAATGGCCTAAGCTGGAAGGGACCTTAGAGATCATTTTAATCCAGCCTCCCTGCCTCCAGGGACGCCACGTCTCGACTACATCGAGCAACACACGGGGACCGAACAGGAATCGAACCCACGACCTTAGCATTGTTAGCGCCACGCTCAACTGACTGAGCTAACCGGCCCCCTTCCCTGGAGAGGTTGTGGAGTCTCCTTCTCTGAAGACTTTCAAAACCCACCTGGACGCGTTCCTGTGTGGCTGGCCTAGTGGATCCTGGTCTGGCAGGGGGGTTGGACTAGATGATCTTTCAAGGTCCCTTCCAATCCCGACATTCTATGATTCTATGATTCATTGGACTTGAGTATGCTCCTAGGGACGGTCCTAGGGACCCTCCCCTGGAGATGTGAACCCCTATGTCTCTGCCAACACCTACGCAGCTGAGTCTGTAATAAATCTGTGCATTTCCAAAGGGAAATGGAGAAAGGAGGAGGAGAATAACAAGAATGAATCATGTCAAGAGGTTTGGAAGTTCAGCCATGCCACATATCTGAAAGATCAGGTGTCCATCTGCCTCTTCCAAGTCTGAAAAGTTGTTTGGGAAATCTGATGTTAAATTTTCCTCAGCTCTGGCTCTTTCTGCTCCCCCTGCAGTTTAGCAGTTATTAAATCATTCTTGCGGCATTTGCACTTCGTTGCTTCTTTTCCATCTACAGTTAGAGACAAGCAGTCTGCTGGAAAATTATTTGAAAAGGAAGAAAACAGAACTTTCTCTAATTGGGAAAATATAAATAATCTTGCCTCATATTGGTCCACATTAAGCTGAAATCTCCCATCTCATCTTGCTTTGTCAGTGCTACCTGATGCTCCTTGGAGCAACAAACCTCACAGCCTAAAATCCTGGCAACGCAGGCTTATCCAGCTAGGTCCCAGGAATTAAGCTTTCCTAACACAGTGGCACATGGGAACAGATACCTGCAAAATGATTGTGCTTTCTCTCTCAACAGCTTTTTCCTGACCAGAAATCAGCACTAAGAAAACATTCCTTGAAGGGGAAACAAGAAGAAACTCTATTTTTTCTTCACCAAGAAATTAATTATTTGGTAAGTCTGCAAATTTGCAGGGTTTTATCCATCCTTAAAGATCTGGAGGAGCCAGAATATTCAGCTACGCCTGATTCCTGATTTAATTGCACCTGCATTTGCATGAGGGGATCTTTTCCCCAAAATTTCTGTGTGGAGGTTCCTCTGCACCATGCCAGTTTGCAAGTCCCCAAGGCCAGCACTGTATATCTCTATATGCGTAGTAAGGAGCAGAATAAGACACTGATTATGAGCAGTTCAGCTATATAAAATTTAAAGTTGGCCATGTAAAAAATGATCAAAACCAAGCCACGTGTATTCAATAGCGTAACACTTAAAATCTGCTCAACCAAAATCCTACACACACATAATCAGGACACGTGGAGACCATAAATTGGATAAAGTAATATTAACTTTACGTGCACAAATTCAGCTGCCTATGCTGTATAAATGACAGCACCCAAACAGAAAAATACCTTCACAGGAGATATAATCCTGATTCCCTCATATTTACTGTATCATCACCTGTGAATAACAGAGTGCTAACTGGCAAGAAGGCTGTAAGCACGCATCATTCAATTCTCACAACTCTCGACTTACAAGTGACATTGAATTTTAAGACTTCTTTCTAGCGCAGATACTAATTAAATTGTTAAAAAGTAAGGGGCAAAAAATGAACTGGAAAACTGGACTCAGTTAAATAAAAGAAAGCGTGATGGGGGAGAACATCATATCCTTTTGACTAAATCTTAGATGTTCTGGAAAACAACTGTACCAAAGGTAACAACAATGGGTATCAAACACTCGTTACAAGTGCGACCATAACTCTTGCAAATTAGAAATTTAAAAGGGTTTGCCTTTTGGAAAAGAGTCAAAGACATACAGAGGCATTTAATGAAGCCTCAGGATAAGGCTTGGGTTTGGGTGGATATTACTGTTCTTCTTAGCTACAGCAAGAGTCCCTGTGCAATTCCTACATGGTAGAAGATGTGCGGCGATTCACTGTACCTGTTCACAGAGCATCTTCAGACAATGCATCAAGTCATGACTGGGGCCCCCATAAAAATGTCATTAAATTACTGTTGGCACCTCATTTAAGACATTAAATGTTCCTCTTCAGTCAAGAGGAGAAAGAAGCATTCCTGGAGGGCAGCCTGGTGCACAGGAGAGCTTAGGGACCCTCCAGGATATAGCCTCTCAGTACAGATTCTTGGCACCAAAATCTCTCAGCCTTGCTCCTACTTAGTTTAATCTGAGTGGTTATTCTGGAAGAACTATTGTGCTTTGAGTTGCTCTTTATCTTATCGCAAACTAAATTTCCAGAGCAGATAAGCACCGCTGGACCCCAGGAATGAATGAAAAAAGCTAATAAAGACAGACAGCACTGCAGGCAAATAGACTACACACTCCTGGATGGCAACATCCTGGTTATCTGCCTGTAGGAGCCCATGGCAACTTATCAAGATAAACTTTGGCAGTGTACAATGTCCTTTCTTTTCATTCCTATGATTCCTTCTCTCTCCCATAAGGACGAACTCCTTTTTCCCCCCACATCTACTGAGCCGCTTAGAGATGTCACAAGGTGTAGGGGAGAGCACTGGGGAGCACTGGAGCAGCAGGAGGAGGCAGTAGATGACAGGAGCCTGGGCTCAGCGGTGCTCTCTTGAGCTATTGCCCTTCCCTGCAGATCCATCACCAGTGCTCATAGGAGTTATGGAATGTGCTCTGGAAAACACCTTAGAGGATGTAATGGCAATACAGGGTCCCACTGAGATGCAGCTTTTACAGAAGAGGGAAATACTTGAAGAGGGCTACTGAAAAAGAAAATGTTTACTATTTTGCTTTACAAGATAACTCCTTTTACCTCTGCTTTTTTTGCTCAGATTGCAAGCAATGGCAAACAACTGCTTCCAAAGCAAGGAGGGAAAATTCAGCCTTGCTGCACCTTCACAACAAGCTGCGCAAGACCCCAAGACCACCGCCTGCTTCTGTAGCCCAGAGCTGGGCTGGCAGGGAGTACATGTGGTTGAGATGGACAACCCCATCCAAGAATGGATATACAGGTAGACACACCTGACCAGGAAAATCACTTCAGCAGAACAGGCTTTATATTGGACTTGCAAGTCCACGGCAAGAGTAGCTTGAGGACTGGGGGCCAGGCAACCGGACATCGTCTGTATCAGGAACGCTGCAGCTCCACCAGCCCCACAGCTCCACAGGAGATGCTCAGAGGTAACTGCAGGGGCTTGTGGGGAGGTCATCACGACCCCATGTGTTACACCCCATGAACAAGGTAACTGGTCTCATCCTCAGGTTTTCACTTGTTCCTTGGAAAGAGGGGTAGGGTGACACAAAGCGGGGGGGTGGCTGGCAAGCTGGACTTGCCAGTCCCATCTCAATAGCCAGGACTGGCACAGTGGGGAGTGTGAGTGAGGGCTTGGGAGGGTGCCTGCCTAAAATCCTGAAGAACAAGCATATTTGCATTTGTTTTCAAGCCATCTGTACTAGGCTAAGAACTGTAGCTATCTCCTGTGAGAGCTTTAAGGTACAAAACAAAAGACTGGAGAGCAATATCTTCTAGATACACAGAATCAGAATCATAAATAATTAGATTAATTATATTTAGCAAAGTCATTAGTGATTAATTAACAGGTTAGCCTACAGGGGCTGGATTTTACTTCTTCCAGGCTATTTGTTATGCTTATGTAACAACATCAGTTTAGGGGAAGAGCTATCTTCCACATCCTGAAGAAATGAGTTCTCAGGCAGAATAGAAGGGCCACCACCACCCAGCAAGCGTGGTGCTCAGAGCAACTGCCCCCTAGCATCTGAGTCCACGATGTTTGGGGACATTCGTGGGACAACTCCTAAGTAAACCTGTAACCTGAGAGATGAGGGTAGGGCTTGTAGAAAGTACCCAGAGCAGCACGCAGGACTGCAGAAGCCCTGCTCAGCCCATGGGACACAGCCACAGTGCTGGGCAGCTCACTGCAGCATCCTGCTCAGGGCTGGGCTTGTTGCTGGGGAACAGCATCATCCCACTCAGGGATCACTGAGAGCTGGATCTGTCCTGATCTCCTGCTACAGAAAACTTTGTCTTTCGTTCCAAATCTTATACAAGATTAACACAAGAGGTCTGCCCTGTATGTTTTTGAGGCAGAAATGTGCACAGAGATACTTGCCTTGCCAAGCACAAATGGAGACCGTCACCAACACAGTAAAGATGCTG